AATAGAATGACTATAAAGGAAAAGTCTCAGAAGAAATGAAAGACATTATCAAAAAGGGGGAACAAAAGCTCTTTAGAAGATAACAGAATATATTGAAGAATAAAGAATATTCTATGTACTAAATATAAAATATTTTTAACATTTAATAACAGGTATCTGTGATATCTCCATGTTTGATCTGTTTACAACAATGTTTTGAAGGGGAACCTCACTTAAGTGATTCCATAATTTCAAACTATAAAAAGCAGCTGGGTGAAGAGTTAGACATTTAAAAGGGACTGTGCAGTCCTGGAGTGACAAGTGGATGTGGGTACTCCTGTGGACACTTAAAGCTATTTTCTTGGGTTGATCTTAAATGACCTCTTGCTCTATGATAAGGATAAATTTGCAGTTTGCTTGATGATGGTGCTGGTAAATTGCTTGGCTCTGTCTGAACTTTTTTTTAAACTAGTTTAATAAGAGTAAGCAAAGTACTGACACAATTGATAATAAAATTTTAAAAACTGGAAAAAAAAAAAGAAGAAAGATAGCATGCCCACTCTTACCATTTGTAGCCAACATCATAATAAAAACTGTAGTCAGCAATTAGGCAAGATAAAGAAATAAAAGCATCCAAATTTAAAGGAAGAAGTAAAATTATCTCTTCTTCCATATGACATCTTAGATATAAAAAATACTAAATATTTTAAAAAACTGGAATTAATGAAAAAAAAAAATAATGTGAAGTTGCAAGATAAAAAAAAAAAAAAAAAAAAAAAATCAACCCAAAAAAATCTGTTGTGTTTCTAAGGAAACTGTGACAAAATACCAGAGATAATCAATTCATAAGAAGGAATGATTTATTTTGGCTCACAGTTTCAAGGTTTCAATCTGTGGTTGATTGGCTCTGTTGCTTTGGGCCTGTCGTGAGAAACTACATCATGATAGAAGCACATGACCAAGGAAGCCTGTTTACCTGAGGGCAGCTGGAAGCAAAGACAGAGACAGAGGATGCTGGAGTCTCAATGTCCCCTAAATGTGCCCCCAATGACCTAGCTTAGTTTCAATAAGCCATACCTTCTAAAGTATGGCTTAACCACTGCCTCCCATTAGCACCACAGGCTGGGGATCAAGCCTTCAATACATTGGCCCTTGGGGGACATTCAAGATCCAACCAATAGCAAACTATACCTCCTGAAGTATGGCTTAACCACTGCCTCCCATTAGTGCCACAGGCTGGGGATTAAGCCTTCAACACATTGTCCCTTGGGGGACATTCAAGATCCAACCAATAGCATTCAAAAAAATTGAAGCCTTGTACCCTCAAAGGATCATGTGTTAGAAGCCTGGTTCTCAGCCTGTGGTACTACTGACTGGGGGTGCAACTTTTGGAAGGTGGGGCCTAGTAGAGGAAAGTTGAGTCACTGGGTGTGTATCTTAGGTATATTGGGACACTGGCCCCTTCTTTTCTCCCTCTTTTCTAACTAGCTACAATGAGGCAAAGAGGCTTCCTCTGCCATACCATCCTGTAGGATATACTTTGCTTCCACAGACCAAAGCAACAGGGTCCAGTGACCAGAGACTGAAACTTGTGAAACTATGAGCCAAAATAAACCTTTCCTCCTTATAAATTGACTATCACAGGTATATTGTCACAGTAACAGAAAGCTGACAGAGAAATTAATAAAGTACTTTCATCTGCAGTAGCATCAAAAAGAATAAAATACTGAGCATGAATTTAACTAAAGAGGTTAAAAAAAACTTGGATTATATAGAAAACATCAAAACACAGATAAAAGAAATAAGACACAAATACATGTCATGTTCATGGATGAAATAACAATACTGTTAAAATGACAATATAATCCAAAGTAACATACAGACTTAATCCATTCTTTACCAAAATCCCCATGGCATTTTTTATTGAAATAGAAAATAACCTTAAATTTCATATAGAATGACATAAAATCCTATGTAGCCAAAGCAATCTTGAGAAGGAAGAAGAGAGCAGAAAGAATCATGTCTTTTTTTCCAAAATATATTATAAAGTTACAGAAATTGAAAAAGAATGGTATTGGATAAAGATAGAAATATTGACCTAAGAAACAGAATAAAGACCAGAAATAAATCCACAAATATGCAGGCAACACATGTTTCAGAGGAGTGCCCAGAATATACAAAAGGGAAAGGACAGTCCCTTCAACAAATGGTATGGGAAAACTGTATATTCACAAGTGAAAGAACACAATTGTACTCTTTTGGGAAATAAGGATCTTAAAAGACTTCACTCCCATGTTTACTGTATCATTATTCACAAGAGCCAAAATGCATTAACAATTTAACATCCATTGATAGGTGAGTGGATATAAAACAGACACACACACATAAACCTTTAAAAAGGAAATCCTGTCATATGCAGAAACATAGATGAACCAGGGGAACCATATGCTAACTGAAGTAAGACATTTGCAGAAGGACAAACATTGCATGATTCCACTTAGATCAGGTATCTAAAACAGTCAAACTCATAGAAGCATAGAATAAGATGGTAGTTACTAGGGCCTGAGAGTAAAGAAAATGGAGAGTTGCCATGTAACTCATGTAAAATTTCAGTTACTAGAGATAAATAAGTTCTAGAGATCTGCTTTACAACACTGACCTAGTTAATATGTTATTGCAAACTTACAATTTGTTAAGAAGGTGTACTCATGTTCAGTGTTCTTATCACCACAAAAACTGTATTAAAAGCTATTATATGATCATACTTCATGATTTTGTAACATGCATCCATTTCAAACATGTATAAAAATTATATCAAACAAACAAAATTATGAATGATTTGTACTTTAGAAGAACTATATTTTAAAACTAAATCAATGAAACAAATTGCACCTCTTGTCTCTATTAAGTACACATTAGGAATTTCTTACCATGATAAGTATCTCTTGATTTGTGTTTCTTGGACAAATCAATGATATCCACTCCATTATAATAGAGATTTTTCAAAACACTTGTGGAAGCTTTTATGTGGCAACACCATTGATTTTCCATGTCCAGGAATCCCTCCAAAGCTGTTGTTCAAAAGGAAAAAACAATATAAATAATATTAATTATTTTCTGATTATCTGCCCCAAATATTAATGATTTACAGATACAATGATAATTATCTTCAAATTTGATTTGCATATTATATTGCCATCTTAATTCCAAATGAAGTTTTAAGATGCAGATTTATCATTGTCTTCATTATAGAGAGACACAATCCCCTTATTACAAGTTCTAGTGATATGAAGCCTTCTCATTATTTTAGATGAGAATATTGTATCGTTATTTCCATGGTGACCTGTATACACTTATCAAAGTGTATCAACCCTAAAGAAAAGGGGAACAGTAAAACTCCATGTCCCTGAATGCCCTCTTTCTGTTCCCAAAAACCTTGCCAAGTTAAGGGAACACTGAGAACAAGCCTGGGCTGGAAAGTCCACAAATGTATTATCTTAAAGGACTTGGGCTTTCTCTTATGCACAATGGAAACCAGGGCTAGTTGGTGCTATCTGTAGAAAGCTACTTTCTTACATGTATACCAGGTCAGTTGCTCCTTAGGATGCTGGTCAGAGAAGCTAACTAATAAGTTAATGCTGATGATGTCACTACTTCTGCAGTCTAAGATATAAAACCCCTCTGAGTAGGGACCTGCACAGGCTGAGGCCACCATGGAAAGGATATGTGTCAACAGTCCAGCTGGCCACTACTGGACAAAGTGGTAAATGTAACAAAGTGGTGAACAAAGTAAGAATATAATTAGTCAAGTTCAAATGAAGTTGTTTAGCTTATTAGATCGCAATATAATAATGAAACCCTGATAATGAAGAATTTAAATGATTTCCCATTTTAGCAGTACATATTCCTATGTATGTCACTGGCAGCATTAAAAATAACTTGGCTTGCTTTGCAATTAGCCAACAAGGACATGTTTGTTCTGTACATGATTTTGCCAAGATTATTTTGGTCAAAAGGATTTTACCCTCATCCTCCCTGTTGCCACTATGGTTCTGCAAAGTTAAATGATTAAAGCATCAGAATCTACTGGAGCATTTGCTGCACAAAGATTGCTGAGCTGGGCCCTGAGTTTCTGACTGAACAGATCTAACCTAGAAGCTGAGAATTTGCATTTCAAACAAATTCCCTCCTGGTGTCCCTATGCTAGCTGGTGATCACACTTTGAGATCCACAGCTTTAAACCGCCAAAATTATATTTCTTGGAAGATTCTCCTCAGGCAAAGTGGAGAAGTGAAAATTTTATTGAGTAACTGAGACACAAAATAATGGTTTTAAAACTCTTTTGTCCTAATGCTTTGAGTTATTTCCTAATGTGATATATAACACTATCCAGAACAATTACCATATGTTAATCACCAAACTGTCTAATAAAGTAAATCTAAAATGTATGTTGATAAATATTTTTTAAGCTTACTGACTGACCAAGTTAGCAGACAGACACGTGGCAAAGTGGGTGTAACAAAAGGACTTAATCACAGAGATCCCTGTAGCAGCCCTAGTAATTTAAAATCTTAAAGGATAATAAACTTAACCTCAATTTCAGGGGTTTAAAAATGACAGACAATGTACAACCGCTCGCAGCCCCTCCAGCGCCCACCCCCACCGCGCGCCCACGACTCACCGGGCTGGGGTTTTTCGCCACCATTCCCTGTGTTCAGCGCGCCTTTGGATTCCATGCCCCAGATCCCCCAGGCGAGAAGGCAGGCTCACCTCTGCAGCAACAGCGATCCGCGGAGGCGCCCTAGGTTCCCAGGAGACACTGCTGTGCAGAAGCAAGAAGCGGAGAGAAGGCAGAGGATGCCCGGGTCTTGGGGCCACTGGCACCGCTGGCCTCCTCTGGGCACTGCTCCTGTGGCTCTAGGCTCTGCAGGCCACAGCGTACCTCCTGCCTCCAGGAAGGAGCGGCGGCACTCTGCCAAGACCGCAGCCCCGCTGAGAAATTAAACTCTGAGCGGGATTCCCCCACTCAGGCCGCCCCGCCTCCTCGGCGCCGCGCAGGCGCCCATTGGCCGGCGCCAACTCGTCACCTCCGGGGTCCGGCTCTCGCAGAGCTGAGGAGCGAAGGGGAAGGACTGGGCTGCTGCGGCCCAGCAGCCGTCCTCAATGTTCCACACTTGGCAGCGCCCTCAGATTCAGGTAAATAAAAGGGATTCTAGACTTTCATCTTTGTGCCTTGCAGCCAAACCTGACCCCTGGGGCCTGAGAGGCACCAGGTGCCTCTGTGAGCAAAGGCCTTTGTTCCTCACACTTCCTCTCTCAAAGCCTCTCAGCTGGGATGGCCTTCAGAGGCCAGGAGCGCTATGAAAATCAAGGTCCCAGAGCTGAGGAGGGGGCCAGTGCAACTTTGACTCAGTTAAGTGACTGGGGGTGGGGGGTGGAGAGCAGATGCAAAGGCCCTAAGGCAGAATCAACTTGGGGTATTCAAGGAACCACCAGAAGAGCACTAAGCTGGGGATAAGGTTAGTAGTTGTTACAATTTGAATATGAGGTGTCCTCCAAAAGGTCAGATGCTGACACAGGAGGTGTGTGATTACACTTTGAGAGCTGTAGCCTAATCAGGGAATTATTGGGTGGCAACTGCAGACACATCCTGTATGGTTGGAGGAGGTGGGTCACCAGGGGTGTGCTTGGGAGCTGTATGTTATGTCCCTGACTCCTTGTGCTGTCTGTTTCTGCATCACTATGAGATGAGTGGCTTTTCTCTGCCACATTCTTCTCCTATCATATTCTGCCTCAGGCCCAGAGCAACATTAAACCACCAAAGACAGAACCTCTGAAACTAGGAACTAAAGTAAACTTTTCTTCCTCTACATTGTTCTCATCAGGATTTTGGGTCACAGTGACAAAAAAGCCAACTAACACATGAGTCAAGTGTATGTAGAGAGGTCTTTGGCCTTGGAGGCCAGTGCAAGGAATTTGCATTTGTTCTGCTGAGATAAGTAGTAACTCCTAGAAAAGGGTAACATTGAGAAGAGACATGGGGCTAGTCTGGGTTTGCAAGAAGCAGACACCAAGAAGGAATTAAATATGTAAGGGTTTATTAGGGGAAGTGCTTTATTGAGATAAAATGGAGCTGGGCAAGATAAGATCTGATTCCTAGTGGTCACTCAGTAAGCTTAAAAATATCTGTCAAATACATTTTAGATGGGTGGTCCCTGGTGGCCATGCAGTCTGAGGAAGATTCTACAAAGCCCTGGGGTATCTTTGAGCTGTCCAGGTGATTCTTTATCCTCCAGAAATGGGCCTGTCTTTGTGTCCTGCCTTTTTTCAGACTCTGGCTAGGTCTGGCCCCTGGGACACATGGCCTCTTATAAATGCAGGGGGCTTTCAGATCCAGACATCCACAGCCCTCAGTGCACTGGGCACCCAGGTTGCTGGTCTGCAAGATGCATCCTCATGTTGCCCACCTGGCTGGCATGGTAGATATGCCCTTGGGCTGTTTCAAGATTAGCTGGGAAGGTGAGCAAGAGGCATGATGATGACCACAAAAGGTTGCAGCTCCAGAACCCCACCCAGGGTTCCCAGATGGAACTCAGTGGGGCCAGACAGAAGTATGTGCCTGCCAGGGAGTCAGGCACTCTCTGGCTCCATCCCTGACACCCAGCCTCCTGACACCCAGCAAATCCTCTGTCTCCCTAAAGGAAGTCAGGCCTGTATCCTGGCTTCTGGCTTTTGTGCCATTTTTATAGCATGGACTTGATTTAGGTGTTAGGGTCTTGCTAAGAATATGCCCTGACACTTGAAAGAACCTTTATTATTATTCTAATTTGTGAAGAACTGGTTGTTGGTATTTTCTTTCCCTTCTCCCCTTTCTTCTCTTCAGAGTCAGGCTGGAGCTAGGTCATTGTTGTTAATTTTAGATCTGAAACTATATCTGGCATGGACTGGTGTCCCCACACTTTCACTTCTTAAAACAGGAAGGAAGGCCCCAGCTGGAGAACTTGGGAGACACAAGAAACTGCTCAGGGCAGTGTTGCAGTGGAAATCATTAAATATACCTAGGAAGCACCAGATTCAGAGAGAGTTTTTGTGTGGTTAAATTAAAAAAATCCCCCTGTCCCTCACCATCTGAGGGCCAGGTCTACACCCATCATGGGTTAGAGAGTGGGAGGTAAGACCTGAATGTGTGGGTTCAAATCCCAGCTCTGCCACTTTCTAGCCTACATGGTTCTTCTCTGCCTCAGTTTCCTCATCTGTTAAATGGGTGATATGATCTATTTTGGCTGGTAGGGGATTAATGAAGGTAGCCTATGTAGTTTTCACTGGAGTGTCTGAGGCAGGCATTGCCTTCATATGTGTTAGCTCTTAGGACAGGTTGAGCTTTCCCAATCCAAAAATCTAAAATTAGAAAAATCCAACATGTTTTGGGTGACAACACAATGCCCCAAATGGAAAATTTTATACCATAAAATTCTGTTTCATGATTCACAAAATTACTAAATATATGATATAAAATTGCCTTCAGTCTCTATGTTTAAGGCACATATAAAAATGAAGAAATTTTATGATTAGACTTGAGTCTCATCCCTAGGATTTCTTATTATGTCTATGCAGATATTCCAAAATCTGGAAAAAAAAATCCAAAATTTAAAGTGCTGCTAGTCCCAGGCATTTTGAATACAATTAATTTCTTTTTTCTTTTTCTCAAATTCAAGACCATAAATCCTGTGGGGTAGAATAAAGGGTTTGGGGCCAGACCTTGCTGGATTCTCCCCAGCCTTGTTTTATGATCTCTGACTCACCTATTTTTTTTCCTAATGTAAAATGGGATCATAACTGCACTTACTCCAGGGATTAGTGGTGTATTCAGGTCAAAGCACATTAGATAGGAGCTGATCTTGCACATCAGTGTTGTTTGCTGGGGCAACACTTTCCTGGAGATTATTCCACACTTCCTGTGAGGACTGTGGCTGGTGCTGGCTTCAGTGGAGCACTTAGTAAATGCTAACAGGTAGCACTCCCTCAAATCCAGGTATGCTGGTGATGGCCCTGCCCAGTGCTGCCCCTTCTTTCCTTCTTGCTCACAGTGTGAGCATTCCCCACAGAACCCCTTACTTGCTGGATCAGTATCTTCTTTTCCCTTCAGTGGGTCTTGAGCATACAGTCCTGGGCTGTTGGGAAATTTCCTTTGGATTCCAGCTTCAGGGAGCCAGCCCAATGCCCAGCAAGGTCTGGCCCCAAACCCTTTATTCTACCTCACAGGATTTATGATCTTGAATTTGAGATAAAGAAAAAAGAAATTAATTGAGGTGGGAGTGGGGACATGCCTGGAGTTACTTGAGACATTTAAAAACCAATTTATAAAATGACTCAGTTAAAAATTGCTGCAGGCCAAGTGGGTACTTGCTGCTGCTCAGATCGTGTATGTTTTGAGCAAGAAGCAGGGAGACCATCAATTTCATTTTGACTGTCATGGTGTGTCAATTATGAAGGATCACTAGTGTTACCATGACCCCCTTTGTTTGCAGTGAAGGGGATCCTTTGCTTCTCAGTCCTCAACGTGATGAGAAAATGGTGCTATTTGCTGGCATGCAAGAAGCCACGGCAAGCACCCTAAGCCTCACCACAATGCAGGAGTCAGAGGCTTTGCTGGTTTGGAAAGCTAGAGTTGCTGAAATTTAAGTTTTGATTTATTTTGTTCACCCATCACGTTTGGCCTTAGTTTTGTTTTTAATTTGAAGAGAAGTTGAAATTGCTTTATCTTGCGCTTTTAACATCTCCACCAAATTGCCAAAAGAAGGAGAAATGCTCCGTTTCCTTTTTAAATGTTAATGATGATGTTAATAAAGCCTTTCCTGACATATTTGAGGAGCTCCTCCATCTCCAGGGAGTTGTGCAGTGATGGGTTTAGTTCTGAATGGATGAAGAGTTCCTGAGAGATAGCGTTTGTAATTAGAACCATTACTTGGTATCTGTACCTTATTTGACCTGTGGTTCCACATGCCTTGGATGTGCATGCACCATGATGGTTTCATAGATACGAACGCACACTCAGGCCCAGTCACTTCGGTTGGTAGTACATATTGTGAGAAAAAAAAAAAAAAAAATGGAGGCATCATTAAGGAGGAGAAAGTGTTTGCCTTTAGTTCCTGCATTATCCTGTACAGGGGCTCTTGAGCTTTGGAAGCCTGTTCTCAGTACAGGAGAACAACTCCCCTGTTTGCAGCAGGAGACTTCGGTGCACAGTGACAACACTGTAGTTCAAGAGGAAACCAGCAATGCTGCACCATAGGCTTCATACACCATGGTTGTTTGCCAGTTTTAAACATAACTAGTTGCAGATGAAGACCTCCTTGAAATGCAGGCTTGTTGGGCTTGTTAAGAATTTTAAGCTTGGATGGAAGAGCCCTAGTGCTGTCTGTTTCCATGCAGGATGATGATTACTAGGCAACAGGTGATTATCAACCAAGGATGCCATGGTTATACTCTGCAAGGTGGTATTCCAGTGGCAAACAGCTGTATAAACTCTTGTAAACAGGATCTACTGACAAAACCCTCTAGCCAAATTTGGAATCTGGCTTTATTATCCAGCAAGTAAAAGCTGAGTTATAATTGGCAGACTTCTGGTACTGGCAGTTGTCTACTTGTTTCTATAGAAACTGATTTGGAAGTCAGAGCTGCACAAAGGGAAAGGGTAAGTTTCTTTTAATTCCATATTTATAAACCCATATATTATTAACTGAGGCATGGTGTCATTTTCCACATAAAGATATACATAAGTGAAATAGATCTCAAATATGAAGTACATATTTCACTTGTGTGGAAACTGATATCAAGTCATTAAATATTGAAAGGGTTTAAATATGGATTTATTTTTCTTGTGACTCTGACTTCACATTTCTTCAAAGAATGAACAATTTAATTCTCACTTTCAGTTATTTTTAATTTGGGAGGTCATAAAACTGATTTTTATCCTTTTATATCTGATTTTATTCTACTTTTCTGATAAGTGAAAGTTGGTATAAAATATGTACAGAGGACATTTTAAAAGTCTGCAAGAATTATTAAAAAAAAAAAAAACCCTGCTGCACAAGAGAAGGAAATGAAGATTTCAGGGCCTGAGTGAGGGGGGCCAGGCTCTTGAGATTGCAGGGAAGGGAGTCTAAGCAGTCTAATTCTGCTTTTTCTTAGGCAACCTCTACCTTGGTGGACCTGCAAGCAGCCTACCCAGTAGATTGGTCCATGCTTTCTTGTTCTCAGCTCTTCAGGTGTCCATGCTGTTAAACACCTAAGCAGGTCTCAGTAGTGGTGCTCTGTTTCATCACCTATAGTCTTTCTCAGCCCCCATGGTGGAAAGTCCTTGCGATACTTGCTACACTGACTCGAAGCTGGCATGTTTCCCTGTGGCTTCCAATGTGGGTGCCTGTCTTTCTGATTCCCTCTTTTTACCCCAGATGTGCACTTCAGGCCTTGAGGACTATGTGATGGGGACTTTCAGTTCTGATGTTGACATCATTAATTCCCAGGTAGGCCCCTGTGTGGATGATTCTAGATTCTTAGGCTACACTTGACTTAACATGACCCTGGTCTTATGCAAACTTTTCTAAAAGTTCCCAGGTAGATTTTTAAAAAGATGACAGTAATTTTGCACTAGAGAAAGACAAAATGCACCCAGACCCTCTGAATGTATTAGTATCTTAAGGATGCTGTAACAAAACACCACAAACTGGATGGCATAAAACAACAGAAACAAATTTGCTAAGGCTGTCTTTGAACTTGGAATTCTCCTGCCTCAGCCTCCCCAACTGCTGGGAATACAAGTATGCACCACTGTACCCAGCCAGGAATGCAGATGTTTCAATTGTCAAGAATGTAAATGCAACACTCAGTCTGAATGATGGAACAAGTGCCACCCTGACCTGCTGTAAGAACATCCAAGGTAAGAACACCAAGGCCATTTGGTGTTATAAAACAGCTTTTTTTCATGAGTACCATGTCTGCATTAAGGAAAGAAATGCCTTTCTCAGTGTCATTGAAAGCTTTTTGAATATAATTGGCTAAACCTTCCATGTACCACATTTATATCCTCTAGACCAATTTTTGGGATAAACTGTGAAGCTAAATGATCATACCAGTGAAAAACAGTCCCCATCTATGCTTGAGACTGGGGATGTTTGCAGATTGACTTATTTTTTGTGTCCACCTCCCTTGCATTCTTAGGTACCCAACAATACATTTTCCCATCCAGCCTGGAGGAACCCAGAGCCATAAGTTAGTCCCACATATCGACTGATTCCCTTTGGGGGCTGGCCATCTAATTTCAGGTCTCAAGAACCAGCTAGTCCCAAACTAATCATAAGGCTATAAAATCACAATATGTTGACATCAAGATTTTGAGGTCTATCCTGACTTCTAAATCGAACTAGGCCATGTATCCCAAGTGTGGTTATGTTTTTTTGCAACAAATTGAGGTCTTCTGATTGAGATATCCTGTGGTTGGCTTAAACCATATTCATCCCAATTTTTAAAAAATATTTTTAGTTGTGTATGGATACAATATCTTTATTTATTTAATTTTTTTTGAGGTGCTGAGGATCGAACCCAGGGCCTTACACATGCAAGGCAAGCTTTCTACCACTGAGCCACAACCCTAGCCCCATTCATCCCAAATTGATAGTAACCTTCCTTATGTCTTTGCTATTCTGGCATTCATAATGGAAGATAAGATGAAGATGGACTCAAATGTGGCTTAATGACTGCAAACTTTAGGAAATTGGTTTGCTCTAAAATGAAATTTTTTCCATGACCTGAATGTGACAAAGTCTCATTTAGAGGTCATAATTTAACATCTGCATAAGAAGTGATTTATAATGAGTCCATCTTTCTTCTTTGATTCTAGAATTAGAGACCATAATTTTACCTAGTCATTCCTTTGTAGGGAGAATCCAACAAGCTAGGGTCAATCAATTGTTCTGATTGTTCAATGGCTGACATCAAAAGAAAAGAACTCAGTGTCTTGAGTGGAAAACTTAGACAAGCTCCTAAGTTTATTAAGATATCATAATGGAGTTTGATAGTTAGCCATTACCAAAAAAAGAATAAGTGAATATTTTATCTTCCCAATTGCAACATGGAAAAGAAGTAATGTGTCTTATATTGGGTAGTCTATTGACTCCCAATACCAAGCAGGAATCAGCAGAAAAGTATCCAAGGTTGAGACACTATAGGTGGTGCCAGCATCCTAAAGGAAATGAATGACACTATTTCATGCCTCAAGTTACCCTCAGTCCAGCCCCAGCGATGGTGACTGACTGGGATGCTGGCTGACTCCCAAGGCTTGCTCATTCTTGGGCCATCATTTTGAGATTGTCTGATCTGAGGTTCCTTCAGCCTCCAGGGCAGTGAACTTTCCAGTGGCCTCTCCTGCCACATATAGGGCAAGGAGTCTTTGAAGCCTGCCCTTAATTAGGTGATCTTTCTTCTAATGTTCTTCCTTTCTGTAACAATGACAGATATTTTCAGAGACTTAAGGGTCCTGTGGAGGAAGAAAGGGGTGACCATTAAGAACTGCAGTCAATAATTGCACTGGTCTTTTGTCCCTCATTTCTCCTTTTATCTATCCATTAAATGTTCATCCTTGTCTAATCATAAAAGACCTGTGGGCTACCTTCAAGGGAAATCCCAGGGCCTACTACCAATTTTGTAATTTCTATCTAATATTTGGAGCAAATTGAAGAATGAACTTATCTTTTAAAATAAGTTGCCCTTCATGAGATGTAGGATCTAAGGGTGCATAATTTTACTAAGCCTTCTTCAATCTTTCTACAAAAGCCCTGGGATTTCACTCCAATCTCTGATCAATTGTTGCCAGTTTCATATAGTTAATAGTTGTCATCCTACTGTTTTTAAGTTCTACTTTGAGACAAATAATCATATGATTGCTATGCCACCCCTGGTGATTCATCATAAATCCATTGAGGATGCTCAGTTGAAAAAGCAGACGACCCACAGGGTATAGAGTTAGTGATATGTAAATCATTCCCCCAAACCCTAGAAGCTTCTGTGTCCTGATGTCTCTCTCTGTCAGTTACAATATGACTCAAAATTACTCGTACATCTCTAGATTACCTCAAAACCTGGGTTAAATGTTGGAATTCCTCTATATATTTATCAGGATCATCAGAAAACCTTCCTAAATCTTCTTGATTTCTTTTAGATCTTTCATAGAAAAACACACCTGCATTTGTCTGATCCAGATTCTCCATTTGTCTCTTGTAATGGGTGTAAACTGGCAATGGGCTTGGTAGGGATAGGCTTACTGTGAAGGAAACCAGAATGGGGGGAGTGGGAGCAGTAGATAATGGTGGGTACAAAGGAAAGTGGGAGAATTGGGTTTTGACAGCTCTGAGTGTTAAGTACATTGTTGAGAGAGAGAAAGGGTTAGTTTTTGGGGGTCCCCTAGGCCAGCAATGTTTTGACTCATCATTGCTAGAAGGGCCTAATCAATGCTGCATTTAGCACATAAATCTTTTGATACTTTAGTAAAAAGAAAGCCTGTAGAGAGGGGACTTCTGGCCATTTTACTTCCTTTCTGCAACAAGAATCTCATAGTTAAAGAGTATTATAGTTTCAACTTCTGTTAGTGGACCATTTATTTTTATCCCCTAATTCATACAGAGGCCAATTAACATGACAAAAGAAAATTAATCTCTTCTTGAGGGTCTCCAGGCAAAAAATGTCCTAGTTTCACAGGATGTACTGCAAGGAGGTGGTAGCTTATATCAATGGTTGATTTGCTGTCTGTAAAATAAAGCCAACCAGGTATAGTGGCATACTCCTGTAATCTCAGGGACCAGGGAGGGTGAGGCAGGAGGATTGCAAGTTCAAGGTCAGCCTCAGCAATATAGCAAGGCCCTCAGCAACTTAACAAGACCTGCCTCAAAATAAAACAATAAAAAGTGATGTGGATGTGCCTCAGTAGTTAAGTGCCCCTTGGTTCAGTTCCTGTTACCCCCCGCACACACACAAACACACAAAAAAATAATTAAATAAATAACAGCCTGATGATATGCCAGGAGTTCTTCAGCACTACTGACCTGAAAGCCAGATGACTACATAAAGGCATCCCTCACATAACATTGCATTTTAAACCCATGTAGTGGTTCCCTAGAATGAGTGTAGCATGTGTGTCCAAGTTCAGCAACTCATGCCTTGTTTTCTGAACTCTGTTTCTCAAACCTATAATCTTATTTAATAAACATGTTTAATAACCTTATGCCAGACAATTGATATGACTTGGGAAGTGACCCTTAATTCTTTTTCAGAGAACTTGAAGAGTAGGATGGGCCTGATGTTGAAAAGTAGAGGGAGCCAGAGGTTTTTTTGTCACCCTGTTGGAATCAGAGCCAGTCCAAAAATAACAACATGATAAATGACATAGAAAAGAGGAAGGATCATTATATTGCAGGGTTTTCCCTTGGAATAAACCCATGAGGGGACATGATGTCCATGCAATGTATTATACAGTAAAAAACTACCATTTTGGTAAAGAAATGATACCAGCTGAGAAAAAAGTTTCTTAGCTGTGCGATATCTTATACTAACTAATTCACCCAAATTATAAGTAGGTAAAGATGGTAAACTCATTGGCCTTCAGTTTCTGGAATAGCCTCAAAAAGAAGGTGGTATGATGCTCATTACTGAAGAGAGTCAGGGGTCACTATAAGGCAACAGCCACAACAGTAGAGTCTCATTGCCTCTCTGGTGGCCTTGGTCAAAAAGATGCCATAAAAAGCAAGAGAGAGTGTACATCTGCATGTCAGGAGGAGGAAAAAAGGTGCCACTACAGTTACTTACTGTAAGAAAAGATGGCACTCATGTGACATATGGAACAGGTTTTGACAAAGAAAAGTGTACACAGAGAAGCCCAAAGCAAAAGGCAAGATATCAGGGGTTAAGTTAGACATCATCTCAACCAAAGCTGGGAGAGAAACAAGGTGAAGTTCATATACCTGCCCTGTAGATGGCTGTTGATCTGAATGGAGGCACCAGGTTAGACATCACAGGAGAGTGGAAAGTTGAAGCTCCAAACTTCAGTTCTTGTGTTCCAAGGAAAGAAAGCCAGACACTGAAAGCCATGCACGAGAACTTTCTCATAAGTAAAAAGTAAAGTAAGGCTCAAACAAAGAGCCCTCTCATGAGAGTGAGTCATCTCCCAGCAGAGAATGAGAAATGAAATAGTGCTGTTTGTAAATGTACTGCTGTTTTATGGTTGCCTTGAGAACTGGGGTCCACCTTCAGCACTCTTTACCAATCGGGGTGTTCAGCTCCTTCATGTCAGGTGGTAGAGTTTTTCATACTAGTGGCCATCATATTAAAGGGGGGGGTGTATTTACAAGTCAGTCCTATGTTAATGTGATTTTGGGGGTCAGTGACTAGACAGAATTTACTTTTGTGCTCCTGAATTACTAAGAAAATTTCTCTTCAGGAATATTTTGAGGCACCTATGGTCATAAGAATGTATATGTGAATATAAAATTCTATTTTCAGAAGATCCCATTGTCTAGCTTTACAATGATACCAACTGACCCTGTGAAGAGTTAGTAATTACCCCACTAATCTTACTTGATATATTTCTTAATTGGCTCCCTTTTTTGGGTTTATTTGTATACCTGGTTTTTTTCCTGCATTTTCTGATTACCCATTTGCCTTAAAAAAATAAAGAACACCTTAAAGTAACTTAAAGAAAACCCATGATATTGCCCTGTTATTGCTTTGCATTTCACTGTTTATTACTCACTACTACTTGATGTCTCCCACCCACTGAGAGAACTAACAATGACTACCTTTGGTTTGGGCAGGTACAGGTCAGAGGAGGGTCCCTTTGCCTTGGAGCCGGCAAGCTCCATGGCAGATGAACAAGATTCCCCCTGCCACCCA